ACTGTCTCTCTGAATGTAGCCTGGGGCAGCATGAGATTTTTCTGCTACCATGTCCCCCTCAACTCCTACTGAGTTTGCTGTTCACTAGGCCTCCCAGATCTTTTTTTTTTTTTTTTTTTTGGGCAATTGGGGTTAAGTGACTTGCCCAGGGTCACACAGCTAGTACATGTGTCTAGTGTTTGGTCTGAGGCTGGAATTGAACTCAGGTCCTCTTGACTTCAGGGCTGGTGCTCTATCCACTGTGCCACCTAGCTGCCCCCCAGATCTTTTTCACAAAAAAAAGCCCCTTGCCTTGCATTTGTGAAGTTTATTTTTTGAATCCCCATGTAAATCGTTCCTTTGACCTCTATTAACTGGCATCTTGCTTTGGCCACATTGTAGCCTTTCGGCTTCAGTTTCACTGCATACACATTAGCTGTCCTCTCAAGTTTCGGATCATACCAGTTTGACAAGCATCTGATCTGTTCCTAGAGTCAAGTCACTGATCAGAATGGTGAAGAGGATGCTCCAGGGACAGGTGCTTGGAACCCCCACTGGAGACTTTCCTCCAGGTTAACATCATCTCTTTAAGCAGCACTTGGGGGCCAGGCCTTCAGCTCCCTTCTCTCCCAGATCCACCAAACTGTTGTGTCAGTGAGCCCATGTCTCCACTTTATCCTGGACGAGGGCAGCATGAGACTGTTAGATGCTGCTCTCCCAGGCCTTCCTTGGCAAAAGGGAGACATGAGGTAAGTCGCTATGGTCTGGGCTTGGCGATGTCATGTCACCCTGTAGTGGCCACAAGCATCTCCTTAATAATGCCTGCTCTGATGTCACCGAGATTTACGAATCGGTTTGCTGGTCTGTAGTCCGCAGACACCCACGTGCTTCCCCTTCTGGAAAATCAGGTCGACATCTCCTCTCCAGTCCTGGGGCACCTCTCCTTTTCTCCGAGTCTTCCAAAGATCACCACAGCAGCTCTGTCAGTCGATAAACACTTATTAAGCACCTTCAGGGTGCCCAGCACCATGCTAAGCCCTGGGCGTACAAAGAAAGGCAAAAGACAGTCCCTGCCCTCAAGGAGCTCACAGTCTAATGGGGAGATAGCACATAAAAAGAAGCTGGAAAGGTGGGGTGGGGGTTGATGTGATCTTGCAGGATGATGAGATTGGGATGAAGTCCAGAAGTTCAGCCGTGGGACACGATGAGTCCAATTTGCCTGCCCTCTTAGTGCTCTGGGATTAGGGGATGAGCTCAGTGTAGGGAGCCCAGGTTAGAGGCAGGGAGGGGCTGGTGGGTAGAGCTCTGGATTTGGAGACAGGAGCGGCCTGGCTTCCAACCCCAACTTGGTCACTAACTTGGTGACCTTGGCAAGGCAGTTCACTTCCAGGGAGAGCCTGTATAAAGTGCTTTGCAAACCCGAAGATGCTATGTAAATGTTAGCCCTGGTGTAAATTATTTCAGAAATGGGGGTAACAATGGCTTTGGGTACTTTCTTTGTAAACAGTAAAATCCACAGAAATGCGAGCTCTCCTTTAGTCTAGCCCGACTAGCTCCTCTAGTCTGTGGCTTCTCCTGTGCCCTTACTGTCCTGTGGCCTGATGCTTCCTTCTTGAATGTCTCAGGAGAACGGAGCAGCTCTGCCGGACCTTTGAAAGTGGACTCGGCAAAGAACTCCACGCACAGCTGGTTGCTCAGGACGAGCGGAATAAACACACCAGCTACATTTCAGGTAGGCTACAGGGAAGCACGACTCTGAGCATGCCCTATCCCCGTACAGCAGAGTCAGGAACAAATCCATCTTGCCCTGGGCACCTTGTGACCTGAAGGCAGGCCACCTTCAGCATTCTGGGCCTCGCAGAGAGCTCAGTGGTCAGCCCGGCTGTGCTGGTGAGCCAAGGTCACTGCTGGCTGAAAGGGAGGCTCCATGGAGGAGGAGGGACCCTGTGTTTGGGCACACTTATAACCAGGAAAATGGACTTGGGCCCAGTAGTTTCTTTGTGTGTATGCACATCAAAATTGTCCCTTAGTTTGCAGCTATGACCCCTATTAGCAGTTTTTCTGTACTTAAAAAAAATAGAATGTCCGGGCTGGAAGGGATCGAGGAGACCATTCCTGTGCAGGCCCTTGGTGTTACACAAGGGCAGCTGAGGTCCAGAGAAAGGGAGGGACTGAACCAGGGCCTGCAGTTAGTTCAGTGACCGTGCCGAGCCTGGAGCCCAGGCCTCCCCACTCCCCCTCCAGCACTCCTTTCACCAGGGCATGCCTGTTGGAAAGATGGGAGTGCGCCCTGGGTGCCAGGCTGACATTACTCTGTTATAGTAGCTCACCACAACCCTGAGCAGCTGGTTACTAGCCTCATTTTACAGACAAGGAAACTGAGGCTCAGAGAGAGACAGTGACTTCCCCATGGCAGGCATCCAGCAGGTGTGAGAGCCAGTATTTTAATCCATTGTGCCTGCCATTGCCCTGCCCCTCATCATGACCCCATGGGGCTCCGTGACTTGTTCAGGACTGGAGACCTGGACTGGGCCTTGGTGGCTGGGTGAGTTATCCAAGACTTCCAGTGGCATGTTGTGCCCTTTGCCCTCCTGCCCAGAAAGCAGTTCACACCTCATCATCTCTGAAGGGGAGTCCCTGTGGTTTTGCTGTAGCCAGTGCTTGCCTGGCTCTGGATTCTAGGAGCCTCCCCCAGGCAAGGGGGCCAAGGGGGCAGGGACGAGTGGGCCATTACCTGTGCTAATTCTGTTCTCTCAAGAACCAGGGAAGGAAACAATGAGGATGGAAAAGAAATGCACAGGAGAAGAGCCAGAGCAGAAAGATGAGGCAGGAGAAAAATGATGAGTGCAGAGAGAGAGGGAGAGCATCAGGTAAGGCCATGGAGAACAGGAAGGCCATGCCAGCCAGGACCCAGCATGTATGTATGTCAGTGACTTCAGCGCCTCCTAAAAATGTCCTCCCTCAGACCAGGTCATGGGACCCTCTTGGAGGCAGCAGCCCTGGGGGGGCAGGGAGGGCGGGAAAGAGGCTCAGAGCGGGGCAACTTACCCATTGTCACAGAGCTGGGACTCAAACCCATATTCTCTCCTCTTCGTCACCCTCCAAGTCCAGTGGTATTCCCATCCACTGGCAGTGGTCAGATAGACTCCTCTTATGGAGGATGGGCCTACACCTCAGAGCAGTGCCCTTGGCCCCAAGCCGGTGAGGCCTAACACCCTGATGGAAGGGCACGTGCCAGTGCACCTCCATCATTAGGAGCAGGAGCGCCACTGCTTTGGCCTCCCTGGTGATGAGATCTGGAGCCTCTCCTGTCTGGAAGGACCCCCGAGAGGAAGCATCAGGCTAGTGCTGTAGTAGAAGCCCCTTGACACAAAACAATGATAATAACCACCATCTTTTTAGAATACTTTGCAGTTTATCTTCCAGCAGACCTTTGAGGGGGATGGTACAAGTTTTGCTGTCCCCACGTTACAGATGAGGAAATGGAGGCTTCAGGAGATGCAGCTAGTAAGCGGCCAAGCCGGGCTTAAACCCAGTTCTTCTAAGCTCAAGTTCATGGCTCTTCCTGCTTTTCTTCATTTAGGCCCCACCTCCAGCCAAGTGGTAGAAAATTGTCCACGTTGTCCTTCGTGTGACCAGTCCACAGCTCCCTCTTTTAATTTAGTCCCTGGCATCTAACCGGGAGCAGTTAGGCACTGAAGGTCAGGGGGTCATCACCAGCCTGCACGTTGGCCACACTTAGGCCCCGATTCAGTTCTCATGACCCCTTTAAGGGGCCAAGCTGCCTACACATCCTGCGCCTTTAGTGGGCATCTGAGGATGGGGGTGGGGCAGGAATCCTGGCTTCGGTGGATATGGAAAGACAGGAGGCCAAAGAAAGATGGGAACAAAACTGCCCAGAAATGGTGCCTTGGATGGATTCCAGTCAGTGGGGAAGCATCTCTGTAGTGCTGCATTTTGTTTACAATAGACCTGTGAAATGCAAAGTTTAATATTTTCTCATTTTACAGATGGAAAAACTGAGGTCAGGAGAGGACAATGACCTGCCTAGGGTTACACAGCAAGTCAGTGTCAGAACTGGGGCTCAGAACCCAGGATTCTGACTGTACAGCTTCCTAATCTTCTTTTCACCCTGAGGAAAGTGGACCACAGGCAGGCCTGCCCTTCTCTTAGCAGCCCTCAGGCCATGTAGCAGCTGGGCCACCTGGAAACCAGGGCTCACCAGTTGTGACTCAGGATGATCCTGCAGTGAAGCTGTACCCCATGTAACATTATGCCCAAAGTCCTGTTCTGATAGGCTCCCAGCAGGGCAGTGGCCAGGTTTTTCTGGCCTGTGTGCAGCGATCCCACGGCATTGGGCTCTTCCTGACTGCTGAGTTCTGGCATGGGCTTAGGTTGCCCTGTGATGGGGAAGTGCCCCGTTGCCAGCCAGGGACAGCAGCTATTTCTCTCCTGTAATTTATAGTGTTTTGTTTTGTTTTGTTTTATTTTTTTAAGTTAGGAAATAAAAAGGGAGTTGGACAGAAACTTAGTCTACCCCCACCCCCCTCGTTCTACAGATAAGAAAACGAGCCCAGAGAGAGGAGGAAACTTTGCTTAGGTCACCCAGAAAGTGACAGGGGGATTGGAACACAGACCGTCTTTGGTGCCAGCATCCTAGAATACCACAAAGGCACCTTCTCTCAGGACAAGTCTGTCTTCTGCGGTGATAATCAGTGAGTGAAATGAGGAAGACAAGTTGGCCCATATCGGTGTCTGAATCCAGGTGATGTTTTACACAGATGTGCCCTGTTTTAGGTGATAGACAATTCTTCAGTTTTTCAGATTTGGGCTTTCTCAGGATTGACCTTCCTTGACTCATGTAGATCACAGTCCCCCTTCCCTGGTTGAATTGTGTGTATTCAGTGGTTTTCAGTGTCTGACTCTCCATGACCCCATTTGGGATCTTCTTGGTAGAGGAACCCCAGTGGTTTGCCATTTTTTTCTCCAGCTTATTTTACAGATGAGGAAACTGAGGCAAACAGGGTTAAGTGACTTGCCCAGGGTCACACAGATAGTGAGTGTTGGGCCAGATTTGAACTCCACTGTGCCACTGCACTGCCCCTGGTTGAATTATCATAAACAAATCCCACACCCTCCTTGGGGCACCTTAGGCCGAGCCTCCTCGTCTGCAGCTTGGCTGCTCCTCAGAAAGCCGAACCACAGTCATCACTGGGCCTTGCCCTTGACCTGCCAGGAGTGAGCGCCACTGCCATGGTTTTCAGATGCCCCAGGAACCACCCCCCAGGGTGCACCTAGGACTGCCCCAGAGGAGGCTGCTTTGGTCAAACTCAGCTTCCCTCACTTTCTGTCTGCAGACACACCCTCCTTCCTTCCTAGTTGGTCTGTCACCGTTTCTCTGACACCAGCGGTTCATCTGTTGACCCCGTTATCCCGGCTGCCTAATAATTTATAAATCCTCACAAGTTGTTGATGAGCTCCTATTGGACCTTGGACCTTATGAAACAGTAAAGAGCCGTTTTGCAGTGTACCCTCGTAAGGATTTTCACATACAAGCTTTGCTTAAATTGACTTTGGGGTCCGAGCATTTGGGCTTGTTCTCAGCCAGGACCCTTGGGGACTTGTTCAGTCACCTGTGCACACTGGGGTGTGCCATGTGCAGGAAAGAAGCTGATTGTTTTCCCCCCAAAGTGGGTGTTGTCAGACAGTTGTCTACTGGCCCCACAGCAGAGCAAGCTGACTGCCTGCCAGCACTCAGGGAAGCTTTTTCGGTGGCAGGCCCTTGCGTGTTTGGCAGGTCTTTGTACCTCTCTGATAATTTTGTCTGTCTCCCTTCTCCATGACAGAGCTCCTTTCTCCCCGTACTAAGCACCACAGTTTGCCCATTGTGGATACTTCATAAATAAGTGTGTGAGTTTGCTAGAATGAACCTTTTGTGCTTGTGACTTATTATTTTAAATATCTTTTTAGGTCCCTGGTTTGATATGTACCTATCTGCCCGAGACTCCATTGTTCTGAATTTTAATCCATTCATGTCTTTCAACCCTGACCCAAAGCCAGATTATAATGACCAGCTCACACGAGCGACTAACTTAACTATGTCAGCCATGCGGTTTATGAAGACTCTCCGGGCTGGCCTCCTGGAGCCAGAGGTGTTCCACCTCAACCCTGCCAAAAGCAACACCAATATCTTCAAGAGAGTTATCCGCCTTGTGCCTTCAGCTCTGGCCTGGTACGGGGCTTACATGGTCAACGCCTACCCCTTGGATATGTCACAGTATTTTAGACTTTTCAATTCAACTCGGCTGCCCCAGCCTGGTCGAGATGAGCTTTTTACCGATGAACAGGAAAAGCACCTCCTAGTGCTGAGAAATGGGAATTTTTATGTTTTTGATGTCCTGGATCAAGATGGGAATATACTCAAAGCCTCAGAAGTCCATGCTCATCTGAAGTACATTCTCTCTGACAACAGCCCCACTCCCGAGTTCCCTCTGGCATATCTGGCCACTGAAAACCGAGACACCTGGGCAGGGCTGAGGCAGGAGCTGCTAAATAATGGGAACAAGGAAACGCTTGGGAAAGTGGACTCGGCCGTGTTCTGTCTGTGTCTAGATGACTTCCCCATCACAGACCTGGTCCATTTGTCCCATACCATGCTGCACGGAGATGGTGTCAACCGATGGTTTGACAAATCCTTCAACCTCATTGTAGCCAAAGATGGGAACGCTGCCATCAACTTTGAGCACTCTTGGGGCGATGGCGTCGCCGTGCTGAGAGTCTTCAATGAGGTGTTTAAAGATAGCACCCAGACCCCTGCCATCACACCCCAGGCTCAGCCCGCACCCGTCGACTCCTCCAGGGTTGTGCGGAGACTCAATTTCAGATTGAACGAGACCTTGAAAGCTGGAATTGCCAAAGCCAAAGAGAAGTTTGACTCCACCATGCAGACCCTTAGTATCGACAGCATCCAGTTTCAGAGAGGAGGCAAAGAGTTCTTGAAGAAGCACAAGCTCAGTCCTGACGCGGTGGCTCAGCTCTCCTTCCAGATGGCCTTTCTCCGACAGTACGGGCAGACGGTGGCCACCTACGAATCCTGCAGCACAGCAGCGTTCAGACACGGCCGCACCGAGACTGTGCGTCCGGCTTCCATGTTCACCAAGAAGTGTTCAGAGGTGTTTGTCAGAGAGCCTTCCAAGAACAGCCCAGACCAGCTGAAGGAGTTGATCGCCCAGTGCTCTAAGTACCACAGCCAGCTGACGAGGGAAGCCGCCATGGGTAAGTGTCCCCCACAATGAGGCTCGTCTTGCTGTTGGGAGGGAGAAGGCAGTGGGCCGGGCTCAGCCAGGGGAAGGACTTCATGCCAGAGCTGTCCAACAGGAATGGACAGCCTCTGCTGGTCAGGAGCTCCCCATCGCTAGAGGATAACCCACTGGAGATGGGCTGGAGGCAGGGCATGACTGGGCTGCTGTTGGACTGCACAGCCTCTCAAGGCCTGTCTGACCAGATTCCTTCCTGTTACTAATTGCTTTAAATGACCTTTTTAGGTTCAGATTTTTTTTTTTAAGGTTCAGATTTTTGAGCTGTGCTTTTGCCATCCTGCTAGGACAGACGGGTGGTTATTGGAGAATCAGGTAGTGGATACATTGGTCAGTTTGCCTTCTGTCCCACAGGCCAGGGATTTGACAGACACTTGTTTGCCTTGAGATACCTGGCTGCAGCTAAAGGCCACAAGCTGCCCGAGTTGTACCAGGACCCAGCCTACGGGCAGATCAACCACAACATCCTGTCCACCAGCACCCTAACCAGCCCTGCCGTGAACATCGGGGGCTTTGCCCCCGTAGTCCCTGATGGCTTTGGTGTTGGCTACGGGATCCATGATGACTGGATTGGCTGCAATGTCTCCTCCTACCCGGCCCGCAATGTCAGGGAGTTCCTCCAGTGTGTGAATAAGTCCTTGGAAGATATTTTTGATGTCCTAGAAGGTAAACCTGTCAGAAGTTAGCAGGAGAGGGCAGGGCTCTTTCAGTACCTAGTGCCTTTCTAGTGGTAACTGGGGAAGCAGGAGTTGGTAGAGACTGTTCTCTGAGCTTTAGAATCAAGAAATGCCCGAGTAACTGAAACAATCATGTTTTAACTCTAAAATCATGAATCTGACAAAATGAATGAGTTATTTAAAATAGGATGGATTGCACAAGTTAGACAGTGAATCATGACGTCTAGGGGCTTCTTTGTGGGTAGGATTTGAGCTGGATGGAGGAGGCCGCCAGCACCTGCCTGGTTAGTGTGGTACAGGCCTGGTCAGGGTCCCTCTGGGAAACCATCTCAGCGCCTTGTTGAGAATCCTGTGTCGTAGGCATTGGGGGTGATCTGCTGGTTGTTGGACATTGATTCTTCTGCAATAAACTCTCCTCTTGAAACCAGTGACTACATTGGCTACTTCTCTAACCCAGGACAGGCTGGCATGTCATGGGCACATTTTTTACTAGCAGAATTCTAAATATTTGGTGCGTGGAGCTGTGATTCTATTGGTATAGGGAGATCCCAGGGAGGAGACTCCCTCTTCCAATGCTGATCAGCCACCTAGGAGCCTTCAGAGTTCTCTGAGGGCAGCAAGAAGTGATAGGCCCAGGGTCACTCCTGCCAGGGGGTAGCAGAGGCCCAGGCTGCCCCTCCACTGAATTCTTAGAATTAGAAAACTAAAAAAGGACTTTCTGTGTAAGTCTATAAGGTGGTAGCTGGTTGTGACTGTTTTCACCATGTTACTAAGGAGGGAACCAAGGCTCAGAGAGGTGAAATGACTTTGCAGCCTGATCAGTGTCGGAGACTTGAACTCTGCTCTCCCAGCTGTCCACCTCTTCCAGGCTGGATGTTAGAGCTGCAAGGTCCACCAGGCCCACCCTTCCATTTGCAGAGGAAGACAGGCCCAGTGAAGGAGAGGAACTTGCCCAGGGCTAGGCAGTAGATCCTTGGCAGGCCCAGGATGAGAATCCAGGCCTCCCCTTTATATACGTGGGCACAGCACATAACTTGTGTTTGTTCTTGAATCTTTCTGTTTCAGCATCAATTTAGCACTTAGAATGGGCCACCTCACAGAGGCCAATATTCTTTGGAACTTCTTGGCAAAGGTAGAGGGACAGAGGAGGCAAAGGGATAGGAAAAAAGTCTTAATTTGCAGCAGGAAAGGTAAAGTCCCCAGGGAGAGAGCTAAAGGCTTGGGGCCAGGGTGTGAACAGTCAATAAAGAAGAAAGGTGTAGGGGCAGTTAGGTGGCACAGTGGATAGAGCACCAGCGCTGGAGTCAGAAGGACCTGAGTTCAAATGTGACCTCACACCAAATACTTGACACTTACTAGCTGTGTGACCCTGGGCAAGTCACTTAACCCCAATTACCTCACCCCCCCCCCAAAAAATCAATTGTGTTACTATCTATGCTTTTGGGGGCAGCTAGGTGGCCCAGTGGATAGAGCACCAGCCCTGGATTCAGGAGGACCTGAGTTCAAATTTGGCCTCAGACACATAACACTTAGCTGTGTGACCCTGGGCAAGTCACTTAACCCCAATTACCTCATCAAAAAACAAACCAAAAAAAAAAAAGGAAGGTGCGCATCATTGTCTAAGGTCAGGGTCTAAGGCCAGTCACTCTTCCTGGAAGACCAGGGTGACCTACAGAGACTTCTCCCAACTCTCTCCCTTTAACCCTCTTGTGTCCCTGGAGGTGCCAGCCGTGGAGCTAAGGTCGCCTGTAGCTTGAAAGCTATGACCTTAAAGAAAACAAGCCTCAGATTCGGCCTTGATCTTCTGCTCTGCCTCATGCCCCATTCCCTTTCTCTTCACATCATTGCTTCATCATCTGACTTGCTTCCAGTCTCTTTCTGGGTACCATCATCCCTGTCATTTCCCTGCCCTGAAATGTCTCCCTGTTGTCTCCAGGAGAAAATGACCATCTCTCCCCAGTGGCCCCTGCCTGCCCTTCTGAGCTGCTGCCTTTCACTGGCCACATGCCACCTCCTGTGTCCCAGGCCTGGGATGTGCACCCTCCTGACCTCCACTCTCAGAATTCCTGAACCCCACTGTTATTTCTAATATAACACATTCTCCCATGTCACCAGCCTCTTCGAGGTCTCAGGTTACCTCATAGCCTGAATCCATCATGAGAGGCAGTGTGGTATAGGGGACAGAGTGCAGACTTGGGAGTCAGGAAGACCTGGGTTTAAATTCCACCCGAGACACTGGTCGTATGATGCCAGGCAAGTCATCTAACGTCTCGGGGCCTCAGAGACCCCTGCAGTGCCTTTGTCTGTGTTGGGCCGGCACTGTGCCGAGGGCTTGTGAATGCCTGGCGGGGGCACCTGAACAGGCTTTGTCTGGAGGTTCCTCCAGCTTCCAGTGTGACACTGCTGTCTTCTGCTTGGCCTGAGCAATGCTGGCATCACTTTTGCCATGAATCGTTTTGTCCGTGGGCCTTCCCTTCCCCCAGAGCACGATGGCATGGGGGCTGCTGAGACACCTGCTGGTCATCAGAACAACCTTCCAAGGCCATCTGCTCCGTGCTCAGGGCCTCCAGCCTGGGCTCTTCACATACCCCAGGCTCTCCTGACCTGGGCTGCCCCTCTGCCCCCGGCCTCCAGCTAACGGTTGGCTCATCTGCCTGACTGCCTGGAAGTGGCTGGCCTGGCACCAACATTCACTACTTTTGTGACCCAGGACAGGTCATGATCTCCAAGCTTCAGGTGCCTCAGATGGACACAGTGACTCACAGGGTCCCTTTCAGCACCTGACCCTGGTGCCCAGCTTCCCACAGCTGCTCGAGGGAGACCTGAGTAGTTGTTCTACACCCCGCCCTGCCGATGCCCAAGTGAACTCTGGAGGATGGAGAACCAGACAGGCCGGCGAGGCAGCCCCCTGCTCCCCCTTTCCCTGGGCTGCAGAGTCACGCAGGCTTGGGGGACACGAGTCTTTATTGGCATGGATGGGAGAGCTACAGTGGCAGGTCAGGGGCCAACCTGTGCATGGCAGTCACGGGGCCAACGGGCAGTTTCTTTCAGCATTTCACAAACTGATGAGTGACCTCGTAGATTCCCACCGATTCCTGGGCTTTTTCATCGTAGTCCGTCCAGTCCTGGGGAAGGAGAAGAGGAACATGAGTCGGTAGGGACCCTTTAGGGCTTCTCTACCTCTTCTCCACAGCCTCGTTCACAGTAGGAAGGTCTCGAATGTGAGCTCACAGGACCTACCCCCATCCTCTGGCCTCTGCACACATGGGGCTGTGGCCTCTCTGCTAGGCCTCATGGGCAGATTAACAGGGAATCCACCACCTGCTCAAAGCCCGGGTCCAGGCAGCAGGAGAAGTCGGCTCCTCAGAGAGCAGGCCCTGGGCCTGCCCCTTCCTGGCTGGGGGACCCGGAGTCAGTCCCTTCACACCCCTACTCCCCTCAGCCAAGGTGGCCACAGGAGTCAGGCCACTACAGTGCTCACAGGACCAGAGAGAACCGGTAGAAGCTTTGGTGGGGGGGGGGGGGGTCCCTGCACTCATTCTCCACCTTCCCAATTTCAGTGTTCTTTCATACCAGACACCCCCCTCCCCAAAGGGATAGGTAAGCCACCCCTGATGGTATGATGCACCCCACTCCCACAGTCCACCCCTCTGCCAGGGGCTGCATCTTGTAAAACCACAATTCAATCCCCTCAAGCTTAGAGCCAAGCAAACTGAGGCCTGGGGACCATGCCCAGGTGAGGGGCAGAACGGGGACCAGACCCAGCTCTCGTGCCACCCACCCTCGTACTCATTCTTCACGTGGCAGACGCCCACGAGGATGACCAGCAGCACCACCTACCCCCAGAGCTCCTGCCCTCACGGAGGAGCCCCCACACGCGGCATCGTCTCTGTGGACAAACCTTTTCGAGCAGATTGATGTCACTGAAAGCTGTCCCAGTCTCTGTGCCCTCGGCAGCAAAGCCAGCCTGGGTGGAACCAGCAAACAGCTGATGAGTTTGGGTCATGTGGTCCTATTCACAGAGCCATACAGTCTTTGAATGGGAAAGCCAGAAGCAGCTCTAGAAACCATCTGGCTCGAGCCTGTCCTTTTAGAGAGGGGGAAACTGAGGCCAGAATTGTCCTTGGCCCCGAGGTCACCCCGCTGCACCTCCCTGCCTCCCAAATGTCCTCTGAGAACCTGGTGGTGCCCCTTTGGCTCCCCGCGTCCATTCAGCCTAGATCTGGAGGCCAGGCCATGGTCTTCTGTGTGCTTCTGTCTGTTCAAAATCAGCTCCAGCCTGAATCAGTTCTAAATGACTGGACTTCTTATCCTGGCCTGCTTTGTTCTATAAATAGACTCCTATCGTCACCTTCACCCCTGCCCCCACCTCTGGGCTTCTCTCCGTTCCCCCAGCACCTAGTATAATGCTCTGCACACAGGAGGTGTCTAATAAATGCTGAATTCCACTTATTGTCACAAGCAGGGGCTCTTTCCTTCTCCCTGTACGTGTCGGAGAGGGGAGCTGGGGCTTTGTGGATGCTCTCTGGGTTGTCTGTACCCAGCTGTCTTCACAGTTCTGGGAGCTGTGTAGACACTGCTCTTGGGCAGCTCCACGGGTGTGGCAGGGGGGACAGTGACCATCGTGGGTGGGGTGGCAATGCCTCCGCTCTCCTGGGTCTCCAGCGCCAACCCGCAGGAGCCAGGGCAGGAGGGACCTGGGGGAGGCACCACCTACTTGGGGCTGGAAGTCCACGGGCTCCAGGCCCCGACATTCAAATTCCACGATCGTCTTGAACTTCTCACTGTCTTCGGCCTGGGTGAGGGAGAGGTGGAGAGAGGGAGTCAGCCCTTCCTCAGCGGCCTGAGGTCGGCAAAGGGCCGTCCCCTCCCCTGGCCAGCAGGGCCACCCGGAGGCAGGGACTCTCCCAAGGAAATCAGAATCACTGGATCGTGGGTCTCAGATGTGGATGGGACCAGAGAGGTGACTGAGCTACCAGCCCTTTCCTTTTTACAGATGAGGAAACTGAGGCCCAGAGAGGGTAAGTGACTTGTCTGAGGTCACACAGGCACAAAGTAGCAGAAGTGGGATTTGCACCCAGATCACAGTTCCAGACTCGGGTCCATTACCTTCTCCTCTAGCACCTCCTCCCTGAAGGTCATCACTCCCCCAAAAGGGCTTTGCTAAGGCCCCTCTTAGATGGTCCCATCCACCCCCTGGACCCAGTAAGCCCTGAGGCAGAATGAACACCTGCTTCTGGCTGGCCTGGGGTCCACTGCTGATTGGTCATTATCCCCATTTTGCAGGTGAGAAGACTGAGGACCAGGGAAGAGAATGAGCACATCACATTCACAGGGTTCTGGGGCAGCTGCTCCCCCCCCCCACAGGGTCCCACTCACATTGTAAGGCTTGATGCTGTTGCTCAGAATGTCTGAAAAGAGAAGAGAAGGTGAGAGTTCTCTGGCCCCTGACAGCAAAGAGCTGCTCGCTGCTGACACTGCCCCGGAACATGGGTCTGAGCCCCCCCCAGGGCCCCAGTGGCCTTGCTCCTCTCTGCCTGGGCAGCTGGAGGGCCGCCGCCAGACGCCCTCTGGTCTCCTCCTCTCAGGCACCCAAGGGACACAGACTACCCCCTCCTCTCCTTCTGGGATCAGCACAGATTATTAACAGCCGGCACTGTGGTGTATCTCGGATGTGCTCAATGTGCCAGGCTCTGTGCTGGGCACCAGGGATGCCACAAATACTGCTCAGTCACATTAAGAGGGGAAGGAGCTTGTGCTCTAGGCTGGGGGCGGCCCTTGCCAAAGCCCAGTGGGAAGATGTCATGATGTAGACAAGCATGGGCGGGAGGAGCGTGGGATCAGTGTGAAGAGGGAGGCAGCAGCCCCCTGGGGAAGGGCTTTGGGTGCAAAGCTGAGGAAGTTCTATTTGATCCTGAAAGCAGCAGGAAGCCTGAGGCCTTAAGGAGCGGTGGGGTGACAGTTGGTCACGCGAGGGCTTTGGGATCCCTTTTTGTAGGCGTGGGGAGGGAAGAATGAACGGTTTTCTTTGACTCCTCCAGCCCAGGGACCCCCATCTCTATGATTCTTGTCACTCAAAGTGCCTACTATGTGCTGTGGATACAAAGGATGGCAAACAACAGTCCCTGCCTACAAGGAGCTCACAGTCCCATGAGGAAGGGAAGTGTGATCCATAGGCAGGATCAGTGCCACAGGGCTTGGCCTGGAAGAGGCTTCCTGGGACTTGATGGAAGCCGGAAGGTGGAGAGCATTGCAGGCTTGGGGCACAGCCAGTGCAAAGGCCCAGAGTCTGGAGATGGAGTCTTGTTTGTGGAGCGGCCACGAGGCCAGTGTCCCTGGACTGAAGAAAGACTGCAGAGATGGGAGGAGGCCTGGTCATGAAAGGCTTTCGATGCCCAACAAAGGATTTGATCTTGGAGGCGACAGGGCACTGGAGTTCACTGAGTGGAGGGTGGGAGATGGGGGGGGCCTCACCCCTTTGGTGGCTGAGTGGAGGACGGGCTGAAGCAGGGAGAGACTCTAGGCAGGTGAACCCACAGGACGGGAAGAGGAGAGGAGGAGGCGTCTATGAAGGATGGGGTACTTGGCGACAGATCAGACATGGTGGGCGTGATTGAGGAGTCCAGGTGCCTGGAAGCCCAGCGGTGCCCTCAGCAGTAACAAGGAATTCAGAAGACAGGGGGCTTCGAGGCAGACACCAAGCTCAGCTTTGGGCATGGTTGGTGCAGACGTTTTCAAGGGCTGGGGCATCCGGGGTCCTGCACTGTTTGCTGTTTCCTGCATGTTTGTCTTGTCTCCACAGGGACTGGAAACCCTTTGAGGGCACAGACAGGGTCTAATTGACCCCTGGAGCTCCCACAGCCCTGGGCATGAGGCTGGATGAAGGAAGTGTGGGCAGGTGGGCCTGAGTTTCAGGAGAGGTCACAGAATCTAGCTTTGGGTGGAGCCTGATCAGTGCCAGTGTTTCAGTCTGAGCCTGTTGCCCCCACAAGGGTCCCCCAAGTACTTACCGATGGAATTGTCTCGGGAGCAGAGCTTACATTTCTGCACCATGGTTGCAGAGCCCCGGCCTCCCTTCAAGGGAACACTGTCCTGCAAAGTTACAAAGGAAGCCAGTTAGCTTCAGAAGCAAAGGAGGAAGAGGGGCCAGGAAGGGGTGGGGGAGCCCCCTCCCTTGGGGCCACACAGTGGGGGCTTTCTGTCAGCACCTGAACTCGTGGGCAGTGTGGTAGGGGCAAAGCGCACAGGACTTCAACAGCCTGGCTTTATAATCCAAAAATAAATCTCCCCAGAGCCATCGATGACAGGGATCTAAACCTGGCATCTGCGAGCTTGTGTTTAAAAAAGACTTATAACTGTATATCAATAGAATTGGTTTTCCTTGTAATCTTATGTATTTTACTTGTTGCATTTAAAAAGGACTCTGGGAAGGGTGCATTGGCTTCATCAGAACAACAGCTGCAGGGCTCTAGGACAGAAAAACAGTCAAGAACCTTCATTGTGTAAAGGCTCCCAAGCTGCCTGGTCAAGTTCCCTAAGCAGCTGCTCCAGCCCTTTCAAGCCACTGAACGTTCTCCTTTCTAGCCCAGACACTGTGGCAGCTTAGAATAAAAAGCCCTGAAATCTCTTCCATGTTAGGCTTAAGATCCCCCAACTCCTCTCATTCAATTTATCAATTATTTATAAACAGCGAAGTCCCTGACTGTACCCCCCCCAAGTGCTTTGTAAACTGTCAAGCAAGATTACCGAAGGCGAACCAAGGAGCAAAGCAGAGAACCCGAGAGTCAGAAGGGCCCTTGGGGCATCTGATCCCAACCCAGACCTTCAGCCCAAACCTCCTCAGCAGTGTCCCTCTGGAGGTCCATCCAGGTGACAGGTGAAGAGACCCATGCCTCACAAGACACTCCATTCCAGCTGAAATCTACATCCTTGTAATTCTCAACCATCACGCCTAGGTCTGTCCATGAAAAGTCTAACTCCTCCATGACGTGAGATATTTGTAAAGCACTGAGCACATGGTCTGGCACATAAGAGGTGCCCTCCAGGTTCCTGGCCACGGCCATCCTGCCTCCCTATCCCCAGGTCTGATCTTCTGCAGGTGCAACACCCCAAGGTCTCCGACCTGGTCTTCCTACTGTATGGGTTCCCATTCTATGCCTCTCCTCCGGACCTTCTGTAGCTAATTAAAGTCCCCATACAACGTGTCTTCCAGAACTGAGCACAAGAAAGCTTCCAGATGTGTCTGACCAGGGCAGAGGACAAGTGGCCTGCATAGGACTGAGAGTTGAGTTACTGAAATGCAGGGGTTGGACCAGATCTCTAGGGTCCCTTTGGGGGACAATCCTACGATGGAAGATCAGCCCAAGCTTTTTTGGCAGCCACTTCTCCCAGGTGCCACAGGAGCATGCAAACCCCCAGACCTCTTTCTCAGGGATTGTGCTGCTGGCTCAGCTCTCCCCTTCCCTATTCTGCTTTTATCAGTCAAGCAGAGAAACCATTCTTGGGGGTTCTCTGCTCACTGTCTCAAAGCTGCATGGACGTCCTTGTACAAGGATACTAGTCTATGTCTGAGATTAAACCAAAGATGGGGAACTCCGAGGGCCTCAGGAATCACCCACCCACACCCTGTTGTAGGTCAGGGGGGCTGTCGGCACCGTAAGGTCAGGATTTGGCAAATATTCAGGGTGCGATGTGAAGTCGGCCCAGGGGCTGCTGCTGACTCCGATTCGGGGGTTCTCCGGGTGACGCCGGGTCACTGAAGGTCACAACCTCCTAGACACTAGTCCGGCCACCATCCCACGGTAGCCCCCGTTTGCAGGGTCCCCTCCACCCTGGGGAGCCTCCCTCCCGCTGGGCGGGGCTGGGGTGCCCTGCCCGGGGGCCGGGGGTCTCACCATCAGCCGGATGTACTGCCACTTCTCCGACACCTCCCCGCAATTGCCGCATTTCATCTTGGGGAAGAGGAGGGAGAGCCGCTGGTAAGTGGCCAAAGGCCTAGGGCGGCCTGGCGGAGGGCAGTGGTCCAGAGCCTCCGCTCCCCCAACCCCAGGGACTCCCCCCAGCCGCCCCGCCCCTCCAGAAGCCCGCCAGCCTATCCTCTGGCCTCGCCCCCAACCCGAGGCCCCGCCCCCAGGGGGGCCCCACCTTAAGGTGCCAGCGGAAGTCGTCCCCCACGGGCCGCAGGCGTGTCACGTTCTCCAGGGTGGCCTTGAGCTGCAGCCCGATCCTCTGTGCGGGGCGGGAGACGCGAGGCTCGGTCCCGGCCACGCCCCCTCCCGTCCCCCAGTCCTCCCCCCTCCATTCCCCGGCCCGCACCCCCGCCCCTCCATCCTCCGGCCCCCCACCTCACCCCCATGGCTGGCCTGAGCCGCAATGGTCTCTGCGGACGAGGGGCTTTCCGGCCTGGCGTAAAAGTGACGCCCTGCCCGCGCATGCTGCGCCTGCACGCATGTGCGGCGTTAGGCGGAGGGGCGGGGCCTGTTACCCTAGTAACCGAGAGGCGTCGCCCTCCCCTCCCCAGGGTGAAGGAAGCTCCCAGGTCCAGGTCTCCAAGATCTTCCATAGTCATCCAGGTAATTCTAGTGGCCTCAAACTTCGGGCGTTTGTCACGCACTTTAACGCAGCGGGAGCAGAAGACGCTCGCTCTCTGGCTTGGGCACTCATTTTGCAGATGCGGAAACTGAGGATCAGCAAGGTCAAATGCCTTGAGTTCGTGGGTACTAGAATGAGTGACGTGCCCAAGAAGTGCTTTATTGGGCTGAAATGTTTATTCATGACCTCATCAAATATCTTACAGTAAACTTTAGGACAAGTCACTGCCAAGACTCATTCCTCATCTGCAAAATAGATGTAACCACTGCTCTGTCTCCCTTGGTGGACTGAGCCACATCCTCTCCCTGGCATCTGGGCCAAGCCTGCCCATTGGCACTTTGCCTCCTTACTCCTGGTTCTACCCTTGGAAACCAACTTCCTTCCGTCGCTGAGAATGGATTGTAAAGTGCTTTAGGACGATGTGAGAAGGGACAGATCCCTCTCAGCCAGGGGGAGTGAAAGCAGGGAAGACTTCATGGCAGAAGTAGCCTCTGGGCAGTCGTACAGCCAGAGGTTTCTTTAACAGAGGATGAAGATGCCACACACTCTAAGCTTGAGGACTGCCATTGGAAATTCAGAGGGGAAAAGGCACACAGATCAAGGCAGAGCCAGACATCCCGTGTCATGCAGATTAAAGCCACCCAAGGGACGCTGCAGACTTCCCGAAAGGCCAAGGCAAGGTGTCTGTACTTTCGACTCCACGTGCAAAGGGGCCAGGGAAGGTCAGACCTGTGCTTTTAGAGGCTGTGTGGACTGGACACAGACTGGAAAAGGGAGACTCAAGACAGGGAGACAGTCACCACAGAAGTTAATAGACAAGAGATGAGGCCCTGAACTCCATTGTGGGCAGTTTTTTCTTGAGAGAAAACACCTGAGATGACACAAGTAACATCTGCAGTATATGTTTGGGGAGGGGGAGAATGAAAGATCACTCGGAGCACAGGTGAGCCCAAGGAGAAATAAGCAAGGTGGGGAGGGCAATTTTGGGAAAGGAGAACGTGATGGGTTCAGTTTGAGGTGCTTGCAGGTACTTTTGGACTTCAGTTTAGGACACTGGGTCTGTACACACAGACTGCAGGAACTTCTGGAGGAGTGACCAGAGTATCGGGAAGGCAGCAAATGCTGGGTCCCACATCCATCCAGGGATAAAGGGGAGGCCTGCAGACCAGCCAAAGTGAGCCCACTGACAGGGAAAGACTGAAGACAGAAGAAACAACAGCCAGATGGGGGAAGGAGAAGCAGGCAGAAGGAGCAGCATCCCAAAGCCCAAGGGAACATCAAGTGTGGGGGCCAGCAGGGTAGAAAAATGACGACTAAAAAGACCACTGTATTTCACAATTCAGATTCCATTACGGTGCCCTTTTCCAAGAAGTTTCAGTGGAAAGCAGACTGCACAGGCTGAGGAAGGAGTAGGGAGGAGGCACCACATACAGTAAGTGAGACAGGCAGGGTCAAGAGAAGATGCTGTAAGGCAAGGGGAAGACCTGAGGGGGTATTTAGGAGGTGAGAAGGGGAGAGGGTGAAGAGAAGGGAGAGGCACAGTGCTGGACCGACCACCTCCCAGACAGGGAGGGCCCAGGATTGGGGATACAAGGAGCACCACCCTCTGAAAGCTGAGAAAGACTGGGCTCTTTCTAGCCTTCTGGTGCACTTCTAGCACAATCTGGATCTTATCCATCCATGTTGGGGCCTTCTCTTCTCCCAAAGGTGCTCAGAGCACACCTTGTCTGTCTCCTCCCTGGGCCCAGCACAGTGGGCTGTAAACAGCAGGCACACTATATTGGCTAACTGTTCAGAACCACTCCCTGATCTCGGCTGCAAACTGCCACTGTCCGATGCCGTGCACACTCCTTGGGTAAGGAAGCCAAGCCACACAGCCCTCGTGTCACAGTACAGGGTCCCCAAACTGCCAGCTGCTTGCAGCCAGAAGTCCCATGCTGTCAGAACTCGAGGCCTTCCAGGACCAAGCTGCGAAGGTGACTCTAACAAACTCTGTATTGGCCTGCATCTTTATTAAAAACAATCACACAGTGTATAAAAAATATTTTCCTAGTTTACACAAAAGTCTTCTGACATTGGGACTGAAAAACACCACCACCCAAGCACACAGAAAAAGTGAAAACACCCAGCCTAGATGGGCTTAATCTTGAAATGCAAGCCAATAAGGCTGAAGACCAAACACTTCAGGTCCTGGACCAGGTAATAAAAGACTCGCAAACCTTCGGGATCCCTGAAACACAAGGAAAGACTTGTTAGACTCTGGATCCAAGAGACAAAAGGGAATCTTCTCTGGCTCATTTCCTAGAGCACAATCTGGCCCAGAGTTACTGAGGCTGCTGGGACGAAGCCCCAAGGAAGAGCTGGCCTACAACAGACATTCCCCTGTTGATCTGAATGTAGGTTGCCCCTCCCCCTATCTTATGTTTAACATAAGCGATGGGTTTTCTAGTGATGCTATCCATATAAATGGTCTAGGATTGCTCCTACAGAGGGGAGGGGCCTAAGCTCTGCAGTAACAGTTAACAGGTGGCTAATTTGTAGATGAAAACATAGGGGGGAGGGAAGAGAGCCCAGGGCACCATTTCCATCTACCCCAGGGCCCTCTGTATGGGAAGGAGCCTAGAGCTTGGCTTGGGGGCAGGATAGGGTGGTGAGCTCGGTGCTTTCTAGGACTGAGCCAGAGGGGAAGAGCCTCCTTCCCACTTGTCAGGCAGCAAGAGCAGAGTGGCCAACAGCCATCCTCAGCAGTGTGCCCAAGGCCTCCCCCTGGCTGGGGAAGGACTCATGGAATACCTTCAATTCCTCCCGGGTATTCTTCCTAGCAATGAGGATGCAGAAATGTCACACTACCAGGAAAGGCCCCAGAGGTTATTCTGGGCACCTCGGCACATGGAAACAGTCAGCCTCATTGTCTGCGTCCCACTCGCTGACCAGCCCAAGTGAGGGCTGCACCCACCCGTGCACAAGTAGCAGTGGCAGGCAGACTTACTTGGACTGGTTCACATCAATAAGGGAGCCAATTTTGGATGTGGTAAAAGAAATGTGTTCATCTCCAATGACAATTTCCAGCTCCTGAAAAGGAATGGTTTAACAAAAAAAGTTGTCAGAAAATTGATTGTCCAGAGTCCAGGCCCTGCCTGATCACATCCACACAAGCTGAGACAGAGAAGCCAGACTTTCCTAGGGACAGCCAGTATGTTAGTGTGGAGAGACCTTGGCTCTGAGCCCAGGATCAGGAGGGACCCAGGCTCTGGGCCCAGGCCCAGCCATACTGGGTACTTGAGCTGTCCTGAAGGGACAGAGGGAGTCTGTGAGGTGGAGGTGAGGAGGGAGGGCATTCAGGGCTGGGGGAGGAGAGAGGGGGAGGTGTGGCTTTAAGTGGGAACAGGTATGATGTCATGGAAGTAGATGTGACAAAGGTGGATTTGAGGAATGAGGGAGGAATCCAAGATGGTGGATGTGAACCTTCCATTGGTGCCAACTTCCCAAAGCCATTTGCAATATCTGGGCCTGAGTTTCCTCAGAGAATGAGAGCCAGCATGAAACAGGGGAAGAAATATGACTTTAGAAACAGAGGGCCTGGGTTCAAATCCTGGCTGTGCCATTTGCTGCTCATATGAGCCCTGAATAAGCCAGTCTCTATGGGCTTAAGTGTCTTTATCTGAAAAATGGGACTATTAGAGACAATCTCTCCCTTCACGATCCAAATCTACAGTCTTGCAACTGGATGGTCTCCAAGGCCCTTCCCAATCCAAATACTAGTCACCACACACAAGAATAAAGGGGACCATAATCTTAGTGGTTTCTTGACATTTAAGTCTTATGTTGTGTTCTACAGAAAGTTTTTACCAGAATAAATGCCTATTATATGGAGTCATGCTAGCGAACATGTTGGTGTCTGTGTTGAAAAACAGAAGCAAATATGGATCCTACATTAATTAGGCAATTCCATTTCCCTAAATCACATACAAGTGGGTGGGGGTACCCCTGGCCTTGGTCCTATGCCCTCTGTTTTCTCTCTCAAGGTGACCCCATCAATTGCCAAGAGTTTAACTCTCGCCTCTATGCAGACACCTCCCAGGTCTAGAGATCCAGTCCTAGACTCCAGGCCTGCATCACCAAATGCTTAAGGGACCTTTCCACACACAGGTGCCGTAAGCAACTCAAACTCAACATGTCCAAAACAGAACTCATCCTCTTACCCCCCAAGCCCAGCCCTTTCCCAAACTCCCCCATTACTGCTGAGAGCACCGCCACCCATCCAGTCACAAAGGTTCATATCCGCCATCTTGGACTCCTCCCTCCTTCCTCAAATCTGCCTTTATCACTTCTACATCATGACACCTCACACCTGTGCCCACTTAAAACCACTGCCTGCCCCTCTCCCCACCCCCACCCCCACCCCCAACCTCTCCATGCCTGGAATGCCCCCACCCATCTCTGCCTCACAGACTCCCTCTCTCCCTTCCTGACAGCTCAAGTACCAGCGTCTCTACAAAACCTTTGTGAATCCCCTTGACTGTTATGGTTGTCTTGCTTCTCAAACTCCCTTGTACCCAAACTACTCTCTTTATACCACCATACATATTTGTTATCTCCCCTGTCTCAGGTAAAATGTAAGCTTCTCACAAGGAGGGATTGTTTCACTCACTGGATTGATAAAAGACTAACTGAAAAACCAGAGTGTATGAAAGTGACCCACCCTGAAGAGGCACGACCCCTTTGTCCCCCTCCCCACTCACCTGCCGGCCCACCCTGTCGGGTGGAGGCCACAAGGCATCATCTTCTTTTGTGACTTCACTGTCATCGATGATTCTCTTCAGTTCCTCCATCACACTCTTATGGACATAAGCCTAGAAGTGAGCCAGAGGACAAAGTCTGCACTGGCTACAGACTGGCAGAGGATCTGCCCTGGGCTACAAGGGGGCCCACTTCTGACTCTGCCTGGGAAACCTCTTTGCCTCCTCTGAACCCTGCACCCCAGCCTAGACACTAGGGGATGGGGGACCCTCCCAAAGCTCTCACCTCTTTTCTGATCATCACATCATTCTTATAATTGCTATTGTTGGCATAGCGCAGTTTTCCTATAAGGAGGAAAAATCATATTCAGTTTATGAAAAACAAAAACAAAACAACCTGGTAAAACCTAGCTTCCAAAGCAGTCTCAGTCAAACATGGGCCTGACCACGTTCCTCCCCACCCCCAAACTCCAGGTCCAAGGGGGCGATATCACTTCCAGGGTCAACTATAAAATTCTGTTTGCCATTCAAAGCATCTCGTGACCCCTCCCCCACTTTCATGTCTTCTGACACCTTGCTCCCCACCTCATACTCTTCCATTCAGTGACACCAGCCTCCAGGCTGTTCCACCAACCAGACCCTCTGTCTCTCAGCTCCAGTCACTTTGTCTGGCCGTCCCATCTGACCACCACCCTCCCAACCCCCTACTGCTGCCCCCACCCCCACCTGGAAGGCTCTCCCTCTTCCACTGACTACTGATCCCTCTGGCTTCTTTTAAGTCCTAATCTAAAATCCACCTTCTACAGGAAGCCTTCCCTATCCCCTCGTATTTCTGATGCCTTCCATCTGTTAATTATTTTCTATTTCTCCCGTATATAGCTTGCTTTGTACATAGCCACCTACACTTGCCTCCCCTGTGAGGCTGCTGAAAGCCTAGAAAACAGAGACTGTCTTTTACCTTTCTTTGTCTCCCCAGCACTCAGCACAGTGCCTGGCACAGTAGGTGGGTGCTTAATAAATGTTTATGATTGCCACGGCTGACATTCAGAGGGAAAAACTTACATTGTGAAAAATGACAGCAAACTATGTAATTAAATGCAGAAAAGGTGTCAGAGGAAGAAGGAATGACTTGTTCTGCTTGGCTCCACAGGACACAGCCGGAAGCAATGGGGGGAAGCTGCCAGGTGAGGGATTTGGGTTCCAAAAGGCAGGGGAATAGGGTGGAGGTGGGGGGCCACTCAGGGACATGGCAGTTCAAGGATCCTTGGGGCTGTACTGGCTGGGCTCTGAGGCAGCCCCAAGAGGAGCAAGCTGCCCAGGTGGCAGGAAAACAGCAGCCAAGATACTCAGAAATTTCACAAGATGAAAAAGGACGAGCCAGTCGAACCTGTTTTGGGCAGGAGCTTTGTGTGCCACAAAAACACCATCGAGGGAGGAAAGCCAGAGCCAGAATCGAGCTCAAGTGAAGATGGGCAAAGGAGCCCACTGTGTGCGGACAATCCTATAGCACTTTAAGTGTGCAAAGTACTTCACCCACAGCATCTGCTTCCCACCCCAGGAGGAGGGGGCATTATCATCCCCATTTTACAGAAGAGGAAACTGAGGTCTGTAGACCCTCCCTACTCATTAAACATCCAAACCAATAATCCCTGACCCGGGATTACCAGGGGTGAGGGGCGTTCAGCCCATCGGGTGGGGGCTGGCAGCATCCTAGGAAACCCAAGCTTGGGGTCCCCAGCCTGCCCCCCTACTTCCCATGCCTTCATTCTAGTCTGGGCTCTCCCGTGTGCCCCCTAGCCCAGCCCCGGACCCCGGCACCCCAAGACCCTCCCCTTACCCCTCCTCCCCTGTGTCCCCCCAGCCCAGTCCCCCGCCCCCCAGGCCCCTCTTGCCCCCCCCCCAAGTCCGGGCCCCCACTTCCCCCCCTCACCGTCCGGCCGAAACTCGAACTCCAGGAACTCGTGGCCGAACTTGCCCTTGTGCCCCACGTAGTAGCGCAGGTAGAAGTCGCTGGCCATGGCCGAGCCGCGAGCTCGGCCCCAATCTGCGGGACGCGCCGAGGGCCCCACGGCCACCTCCACCAACCTGACGGCGCCTCCTCCGACCGGGGCGCGCGGCACTGACGTCACGAGCCAGCGCCCGAGGCCGCGCCCCCTCTCTTCCGCCCGCAGACTGGCCCCGCCTTCCATGTTGCGTCACCGCCCTGGCTCCGCCCACGAGCGAGGCGCGCGGAGGCGCATGCGTGGCCGGGAATCTCAGGTTGGGTTTTCAGGAGCATCCCCAGCCTCATGTGGTGACGCCCAGTCAGTCCTAGAGAAGGAGGAGCGGCCTTTCCCTGCTCTCCAGTCTTGGAATGGATATCCCATAGACATCTTAAACTCAACGTGTCCACATCAAACTCGTTCGTTTTCCCCCCAAACTCCCCTCTACCTCACTTCTCTGTTACCGTCAAGCCCAGCACCACCCCCAGTCCTCTAAGCTCGAAGCCATCCATGGAGGGGGGAAGGGGGGGGGAAGAATATTTAAATCCCCAAATCTTATGGAAGTGAATGTTGAAAACCAAAAACAAATCAATTATTTTTTAAAAAGTGTATTGTGAGCCTTTGGAAATTGGCGAATGCTACAAACCAGGACTAGATTTATTGTTTAGTTGAGTGTCTTTTCTTTAGTAAGTTTGGCAGAACACGATGATAATTCAGATTAGACTTAAGTGCATCATGTGTGTTCATACCTCCCCCCCACACACACACGGCCTGAGCCAGTTGTTAGACGTCTATTAGCACACCACTGATCTTAGACCCAGAGCTAGGAGAGACCTTCGAGTTCATAATTAGAAAGAAAATGAAACCAAGTCGTCCATAGGCTCACAGGTTTACACCTGGAAGAGTCCTTGGAGGCCCCCTAGTCTATCTCCTTCATTTAACAGAGGAGGAAACTGAGGCCCAGAGAGGGCAAGTCACTTTTGTCCAAAGGAGATGCTAAGAGTTCATTTTCTAAAAGAGTTCCCAATAAAATTTCTTCAAAGACTGTGATATCCAAGCACATGTAAAGAAGTCAATGTACACAAATGAGATTTGGGTACACCTTCTCAAGAACACTGCTAGTAGATAACAATGAGGTGGCCGGGTTGCACAGTGGTCAGAGCACTGGACTTGGGGTGAGAAAGACCCTAGGTCAAATTTGGCACCAGACACTAGCCATGTGATCCTGGGCAAGTCACTTCACCTTTCTCTGCCTCAGTTTCCTCTGCTGTAAAATTGAGAGGGATAACAATAGCACCTGCTTCCCAAGGAGGCTTTATGAGGATCAAATAATATTTTTAAAGCACTTAGCAAACCTTAAAATGTTATATAATATATGATTATATAATATGTATTATATAATAATTTATGTGTAATATGCATTGTTATAATGTTATAATAGTTATTAAGGGGCATATATAGACATATGTATATATACACAAGTATAGATTTATATATGCATACAAATATGTATATGTGTTTGTATATATACACATATGTGTAAGGTGAATTTTAGTATGTGTAAGGAGGATTGAGTTATTCCTTTTTAGATAATAGTTCCAGAATCCATGACCAAAATAGATAATAATTCCCACAAAGTAGTATTTAAAACATCTCCACCATGTTTGCGCAGTGAGATATAGGGATGACATAATGTAAGCCTGGCGCTGCGCTATGTACGCTGGCGATATTGCTAAAGTTAACCTGTGAGCTTAATGTTGGCAAGATGCCTTCTTTGTCTGTTGCCCTAGAAAGCAAGTGGACACTGGTCAGTGAGTGGGGGGGGGGATTTGGGTAATGCGTAGAGGAGTATGTGTACCTGCCTTGATCGGCCCCCATCAAGGCTTAGGGGGTCTTGAGGAGCTGTGCTCCTATTCTAGTCTGCCCCTGAGAGAAGTATGATTAGGGAAGGCTGTAGGAGTTGGAGCTCCCATTATCATCAACTCCCTTTGAGCAGACTAGACTAAAGTAAGCTTATTTAACCCTTCGAAGGTGTCTTCCTGTCTGACCATATCAAAAGTGAACCTCTCCAGAACACCTGTTGGTGTTAGGAGCCTTCCACCTGTGAAACAGTGTGTGTATATATTATATATGTGTGTATATGTATGTATGTATGTGTGTACATATACATATACACACACACATATATATACACCTTGTTATTAAGTAAGGAACTTAAATATCTTTTTTTAAATGCCCTTTTTGAGGAAAATTTCTTCCCCAATAACTGGACTGATAAGGTAAATTATCAATAATGTAAACCAAGGAAAATAGAATTAACCTCCCACCTCGGAGGTTCTGTGATCCTTCAATGCCTCAACAGGCAGTATCACGGTCATGAGAGGAGCTACAACAATTGGTCCCTTTATCACTAGTCCCATCTTTGTCCAAGTCCCCTCTGTTTTCCAAATATAAATCAATAGAGAGAAAATACATGTGTATAACAGGGAGTACATGATAACTTGCCTCAATTTAAAAATCCATTGGCAGGAAGTTGTAATGTATCTGCTGTAGTCTGCTTTATTTTTCTGTAATCACCTCCTAATTGCCCGCCCTATCTATGTTCTCTTTTTTCCATCGTGTCCTTTACGTGTCATCCATCCTCTTCATGTCTGTAAAACACTTAGCAGAGTGCCTGGCACATAGTAGGCACTTACAGGCTTGTTTCTTTCCCCTCCCTCCTCCCATGTAGCTGCCAAATGTGCTCTCTTCCTAAAGCAAGGGGCAGATTAGGTCAATCTCCTGCTCAGGAACATTCAGTGGCTCCCTGCTGCTTCGTGCATCCCCCTCAAACCCCTCGGTCAGACAGCTATCTTAAGCCCCTCACAGTAGGGCTCCAGCCCACCTTCTTTTTTCCTATTCATTGAGAAGATGCTTCAGTCCTTTAAGGGGTGAGAGCCGCTTGTTAGAAGCACACCCCACCTCCAGGCTTGGCTAGTGACTTTCAAATAGAAAACTTTAATATCGCCTTTGTAAAACAAAGTGGGGTTCCCCCGCCTCCGCTTACATCATCACACTCGATACATCCCACCTTCCCCTGAACCAGACTACTTGAGGTTCCCCTAATTCAGCGTTCCATCAGCCATCCCCTGTCCTTTGCTGCCTGTTCCACAGGGCTGGAATGCAGCCCTTCCTTAGCTTGGCCTCTTGGAATCCTTAGCTTTCTTCAAGGATTGACTGCAGAGCTCTCCCATGTAGGAGTGGGAGGTGGGTGCTTTCTTCACTACAAGCTCGAGGCAAAGCATTTAGTACATAAAGACAAATAGACATTGGATCAAAGGACTGCTGTGATTCCAAGTCTAAGACTGGAGGCACCCTGTGGCTACTGAAGATGTATTCACCAGGCCTTTTCAATGCTTGGATTGATACTAGGACTATTGGGTAGATGGAATAAGCATTTATTTTTTTGGATTGGATTGGAAAGGTGAATGCTACTTTCCTCTGCTCTGGCCTTACCCATTGCTGAGGAAAATGACACACATGAAAGAACCATCTCTGAGTTTATGGACTGTGCTCTCGTTTGGATAAGAGCCTGTGTCAGACTGTGCATGTTCCTGGTGAGGACATCCCCAAAACCAGAGGGGAAGGTCCTTTGCTGCCTCTCCAGAGCCCGGCCATGCAGACTGTAGGATGTCCTCCCAAAGACAGAGCCCTCCTAGACCCTGACCCATCTTCAAAGCAGGACAGCCTGGCTCCAGGGGAAGGGCCAGTGATGCCCCAATTCATAAGGGGCAGATTTCTTTTTATTTTCTGTGTTCCAGAGAAGAAGAGCTGGGAGGGCCCTCAAAGCATCTTGGCAGCCCTAGCCACCCCAGGGCAAGAACCATCTCCCTAGCATTCCTGGTAGTGAGGCTTCCAGCTTGGACAGCTCCACTGACAGAGGGCTCACCATCAAGAAAGGAAGTGTAGGCCAGTGAAAAGTCCAAGAAACCAGAACTTCAGACATTCATAGTCAAGCCACCCTGGGCAAGTCACTGAGCCTCAGTTTCTTCATTTGTAAAATGTAATCACTGGGGTGCTGCAAGGCCCAAACAGGCCTCAGACACTAAGGTTTGCTCCCCAGAGAGGGCATGAAGGCAGCCCTGGTGAATCCCAGGAGCATCGCCAGGAACCAAGGTTATTGGAACTGGTCTTCCTTGCTGACTTTGTACATTTCTGCCCAGCCCCTACCCCAAAACCTAAGACCAGGCTTACGGAGAAGGCACCCAAGTAGAGTATTCATGAGCCTCGTTGAGAGAACTCTCCACTGATTGAGAAAGTAACAGGGAGAGTCTAAAGGAAGTCTACCTGGAACTTTCTCCCAAATAAATTTATTCTTTCTTTCTGTCTGTCTGTCTGTCTGTCTGTCTGTCTCTCCCTGTTTCTGCCTCAGTTTCTGTCTGTCTCTTCATCTTTGTCCTTTCTTCATCTCTGTCTCTGTTTCAATCTTTGTCTCTTTCTAACTATCTTGGTCTCTGTCTTTCTGTCTATGTCTGCCTCAGATTATCTCTCCAGCTCTGTCCCTCCATTTTCAGTTCTATTCAGTAAGCATTTGCTAAGCACCTACTGTGTGCCAGGCACTGTGCATTTTCTCACTCTCTTTCTCTGTCTCTTTCTGATACACAGAAATCTCTTCTCTCTCAAATTCCTACTTAGACACAAACCCCCTCCTTTACATATAAATAGACGCACACACTAGTGTTCTGCACTTCCTAAATTCACACTCTCATTCACATTGACTCATTGATATGCATCCTCTCTCATAGATGCATATATGCAGCCATAAGCACACCTGCATTCTCAGAGACACACACTTACTCATTCTTGGATAAGCCTACTGGATCATGAGATCCCAAAGTTGGAGCTGGGAGGGATATTGGAGGCCTGCTATTCCAATCTCCTCATTCTGTAGAGGAGGAAAGTGAAGCCCATAGATGTGGCTTGATGACAGTCACATGTAGGACAGGATTTGAACACAGGTCCTCCGGCTCCAAATATCAGGATTATAGGGATCTTTCCACTGTGCCACCAGAAAGACTTCCCCTCATAGGGATGCTCATTCTCTCTCTGTCTCTCTGTCTGTCTC